CATATATAGTGTGAGTATAATACTAACAATAAATATAGTCTAGACAGTTTGACTTGTAGATAGATCACAAATTGAATAAACATATTTCCGTATAGATTGGCAAGTTCAGAAACGGGTACCTTCGTGTTTCTGAATAATCTCCATTTGTATGGATATTTTTTCCCTCTTTTTAGTAACAACTAGCTTCTTGGGTGACATTGTGGCTACAAAAATTATCAGAAAATTACCCACTAATATTGTACATGTACAATTGTCACATTTTACCTACTTTTAAATAAATTTTACATGTTACTTTACCACACAGTAATGTTAATGTACTGTATTCATTACTGTACATAAATTTCTGCAAATTATTAATTTTTTTTTATGCTGATATAATCACAAATATGTGTACACTACAAATGTTTATTCTAGAAGGTAACAGAGGACTGAACAAGATGATGCAATGCTCATAGCATCACACTACATTTCAGCGCTGGAACTGTATAATAATATAGTAATGTATATAAAATATAATAATTTACACTGCAAATAAAACAAAAATATAAGAATAAAAATACAGTATAAAATATATCTGCAAATATTTAGTAGAGTACAGTATAAAAATGTATTGTAATACTCTATAATATTACAGTATTATTATATATAATACATAAAAATAAAAAATACAGTATATTTAGATAAGATTAAAAAGTATTTACAGTACATTTATATCAAATATCTAGTTTGAAATGCAGTGGCAGGAAGCCCATTCTTAATTTTGTAAATCAAAATTAATTCATAGGTGGAAACAAATTTTCTGACCTTTTTGTTCATATGGCGAGTTTTTTGTAAGTGGAGTTGTTTGTAAGTTGAGGTTCCACTGTACTATAATATCCTGTCTACCATTTTAAAGATTATAAATTGGAATATTCAAAATAAGTGAAACCTGGAAATAAATAAAGGACCAATAATTACAGAAAATGTTTTTGATTTAACCAAGTAATTTAAATTCATATTGTTTTGTATTCTTGTATATTTTAAGTTTGAATCTGTCAATAATTGTTTACTCTTTCATGGCTGTATATAACTTTGTCATTTAACCAAATAGCTACAATGTTCTGTTACAATCAAGTAAAAATATCCAGTTCTGTTATAAAAGTTTGTATTTTTACTTGAATGTAACTGAACATAGTAGCTACTGGTAGGAATCACTTCCTCTAGATGCTGTATCCCTTCAAGACATACGCGATCATGGTTCCCTATACTTTGCAGTTCTTAGTAAGGCTTGTCTTTTCATTATCTCTCCCAGTCCCTATTCTACCATCTGTTTACACATTCTTTTTGGTCAGGTTACTCACTGTTTTCCTGTCTCTCATACCCTCAATATATCCTGTGAGTGCTAGACTCTCTAGGCCTTCCCCCTCATTATGTGTCCCAGAAATTTCAACTAACTCTGATTCTAAGTATAAGTGTGTATGCCCCTGCGCCACGTCACTCACATGTTCAGTTCATAGGACTCCTAGCATCCCTCTGCAGAAACTACATTTCCATTGCTGTAAGTTTCCTCTGTGAAGAGACTGTCCAACATTAACCCTCAAAGAGGAAGATTTATATTACATAAGTTTAGTAAGCAATATATTCTCTGGTATATTAATACCAGGAACAAATAGCCTAGCAAATAGAGAACAAATTCAGTGAATACACAAAAATAGAGGTGCAAAACAAGAAGTTTTCTCAAATTTATTCAACATATATAGTGAGACGAGAATTAGAAGACCTACCAGGATTTCTTTTATTAAGAAAATGGTCTTAACAGCATAAGACACATGGATGATGCCTTGTTGATGGCAGACTCAGAGAGGAAACTGAAAGAACACTTAGTCAAGGCAGTAGAAAAAAGGACTAATTAATAACTGTAAGAAGGCCATGCATAGTCATCAGCAAAAGAGAACCCAAAGTGAGTTATATATTGAGGACATCAAAATGAAGCAGTTACAGAAAGTTAACTATCTGGGTAGTATAGAAGGTGGAACATGTGGCACAGAAATCTAAAGACACATTGCAATAGTAAAAGTACATTCCAGAAACTAAGCAAAGTAATAAAACAGAAAAATTTTGTTAGCAGTTCAGCACTCTTTTCTTTGTTTCTAACAACATTTTCCTATCTCTTAATACTTTGCTTAGTTTATAAAAGGCACAAAGTGATTGTTCAGCATTCACTTCCATCTAAGAGATTAGAATATTACATAGCAGTTCTTCACTCTTTTCTTTATTTTCTATGTACATTCAGATTTCAATGTTGCATTTTCCATCTTCTGTTAAAACACTTCCTGAATATTAAAACACATGTACTTGTTAGTTTGAAAAAATAAAGTTTGAAATAAAAATCTTTAATGACTTTTGTACAGGAGTCATTAAGGATTCTTATTTTAAACTTTATTTTTTCAAAGTTTTTATTGGATTATGTTAAGTGGTAACACTTAAAATTCTTTTTTCTTTTTCTGAGGTTTTTTTGTCTGTTGTCACAGTAGATCTTACAATATTACAAAAGTACAAAGGATTGAATGTTTTTGAGCAACATTTACTCTGATTTGGAATTTACTGAAATCGGGTCAAATATCAATGTATACAATAAAAGTAAACAAAATTTATGTCATTTGATTATAATTTATCAAATATAGAAAATAGATTCTAATTTGGTTATATGAAAGTGTTATTTTTTTCTCTCTTATTAGTATAGCATGCTACTTAGGTGGTGGAGAGGATAATTCGGATATAGAATCTTGTGTTTTGTGAAGATGTACTTTGTGGAACTTTTTCAGCACTCCCTCATTTTATATATGGATACATAGTCAAGTGGTTAGTATGTTCACAGTCTGCAGCACTATGGGAAAGTGCTTGAAAAATGCACCATGGGCTGAAAAAAGCCTTGTGAGTGAAATTGGCTACACAAAGCTATTTGGAAGTCATTGATAGTTGTTCTAGCTTGAAGTCAGAAGTCGTCATGATTGACATTTTGAATGTAATGACCTTGTTCAAACTGTTGATCATGTCAGATTATCTGCTCCCTCTCTCCCAGTTACTTTATAGTCTGCTCAACATTGTTGTAGTCTAAACCACAAGTGGGCTTTATAGATGTTGAACAAATACAAATGTGCCTAAGTAGGCGTCTGCAGCAGGGATTGGCTATATACACTAGTAGTAAATAAAAGTAATCAAAATTTATTATATAGTTTGAATATAATGTATCAAATATAGCAAATAAAGATTTTAATTTGGTTAGCTGTCTGAGCAGAGGGGTCTAATCATGAGTACCTGACCATTATTTTATACACACACACACACACACACACACACACACACAACCCAAAAAAAATTGTAGAAAAATTATTTTACTTTTTTTTTTTTTTTTTTTGCTTTTTAGTAGAACTGCCAAGAAGCAATCAATGGATAATTAAACTAGTGCTATAATATTTAATAAATTAAAAGTTCAAGTGACTTACCTGGTTAGCAGACTAAAGAGTTTCACATCAAAAAGCTCATCAGGGAGATATCTATATATATATATATATATATATATATATATATATTGCCTCTAAGTGTTGACTTCTATGTTCACTTATATTTACACACGCTCTATCTCTGATATTGAACACTTTATCCTATAAATATAGCACATCTTAAGACTATATTTCTTATATATATATATATATATATATAATGTAATAATCTGTAGGTATATAATCCAAGTGAATCCTAATAAAATAACAATTGTAGCATTAAATAAATTCAAGGAATTTAAAATGTGCTAATTTGGAATCGTAATGTGTTAAATATTTCTTAGATAATGTGAAGCATTTCCTATTTCTTGCATGAGCTAATTTGAAATATTTATTTATCTCTCAAGGAAGTACAAATTCAATTCCTGATCTGCCAAAGTTGAACACATTGAGGTATACATGTTCTCAAAATCACAAAGAGCTCCCCACTTCTAGCCTTTGTTTGGTGGGGTGTGCTAAAGAACTTGCTCAAACTCTTCATGATTTGAGGGCAACAGATTTATAAAAAAATATGTATGATGCAAATTAACTAAATACATATACAACTTTCTGCTAATGGTTTGAGAGATTGATATGATAACCATTGTCCCTTAACTACTCCCTTTTCCAAGTACATAAAAGTATGTATTTTTGAAATCAAGTTACCAAATTTTTAAATTAGCATAAAAAATAATCTCCAGGTGTAATAGCAGGGTAGAAAAATGCTTAAAAAAGGTCAGATAATCGTCAAGATTTTGTGGCAGTTCAATAATACAGATATGCTTTAAAAGATGAAGTTTTGGAATTCTAGGTTATTTGAAGTGCTGAAAGGAAGTATTATTATTATTATTATTTCACACTTTAGTTGTAATTTTTTGTTTAGTACCTTGAACAATTTAATGTGCTATGAGCTGAACCTGTTGAAATTCCTTCCTACTTATCAAGTATAAGTGTTTTCTTCCATTTTTACCCTTGTTTGTTACATTACAAGCATAGGTAGGTAGGGTGGGAGATGAATGTTTCTATATTCCTTACTTCATTCACTTCTTCTACCTTCTGGGGCAGTCTTCAGCCATACTTGTATTTCTTCCTATCTGCTGTAGACCATTATAGGAAAAAAAACATGATGATTGTATGCATAAACAAGCAGTAAAACAACATTGATTACAAATTGGTTGAAAACAAAATGGGTGGAGTAATTAGGAGCAATAGGGTTATGAATAAGCATCCATAGTTCATTGTCAGTAGTTTTGGTAGCTAAAATGTTAAAAGTGGTGCTACATTATGTGGTATAGAAAGAATAAATGTCTTTTCATTAGAAACTACTTACTTGTTTTGAATTCCCACAACTTAACATATGCTTTAGTCTTCAAGCTATCTAAAAGTGTTAATAAAAAGTAACTGCAAAAAAATGGAAAATGTGACTAATTTTCTTTATCCATTCTGTTCATTGTTTGATTCTGTTGTCGTCTTTTGCAGGGAAACCGTGTAGCTGGATAAATGACATCTGGATGGTGAAGTCTCCTCCTCCTCTTTTTTTTTATTTTTTTATTTTTATTTTTTTTTTTAAATGCTTGATGCTAATGAGTCATGTCCTGTGATGCTGACTGTGATTTTGATTCTCTGTGGCAGGACATGGCGCAACATTCTTCTCCAAACCAGAACTCTCTTTCTCTCACAGTCACAGGTAAGAAAGCACACAAGTTTTCACTTGAGCTTCCATCGTTTCTTGGAATTTTGATGTTGATTTAACTCCCTTGATAAACAATAAAAAAGATAATTGAATTTCATGATTTGTCTTCACTTTTAATCTCTACCAAATAAATTAGTATATTATCAGACATCCCTACTATCGATCACTAGTCCTATGGCCCGTGGGGTCATAGGGTTACCCCATGTACTGCAGTTGTAGCAACAATTGTGTGCCTTGGGTGAGATAGCCTGGCTGAACCCAAGTCTTCCCAGGCTGGTTTGAATTCAGTTTTCCTTCTCTTAGACTTTTTGCCAACCAAGGGCCTAGTCTTGTCCTGCTATTTACCTACAGCTGTGGAGAGAAGAGATGGATTTAAGTTTATTTGCCTGTAAGGGAATATTACAAACTCTACTTCAGTTTGAACTCTGCTCTCCAGTTTCTCATCCTGAGTTGCTATCCATTACTTCAACACACATTCATTCCTAATATATCTAGTCATTAACTTTATTTTTCAAATTTAAGCCCTTTTTTTCCATAATAAGGTTTAGTCTTTTCAGTAATGTCATATTCAGCTTGGAAGATGTATGATAATTTTTTTTTTAAGTATTTTCTAAACTTGGAAAGTTAATATTCCAACCAGCATCATTCCAGGGACAATACATCTGAATATATGTAGAAATATCAGTAAATTTAATTGACTGATGCTTCTTCATATATTCAGAAAAAAAGCATTTTACACAAATATTTGTCTATACCAAGGACTTTTCTAAATATCACAGATTGAACATTATACAGTGAAAATAACTCAGGCTATGGACTTATTGATCTATCTTCCTGTAATGACTCCTCTTGTTTTATCTCCCAATAGCTAAGATAGTGTTTTTTTTTTGGGGGGGGGGGTTCCCCACCTTTAGTCTAAGATAATTTTGAGTGACAGTAAAATCACCAGAATCTTATTAAAACTAGATATTCACTGGATATTCACAGGCATTGTAAACTGACCTTCTCCATTAATTGGTTGGCTGTTCTCAGTCCCAGCACTTTGTCACATGTTTTGTTTTTGTCACGTGGCCATAATTCATTTATGCCTACTTCCTTCATATCCATCTCCCAAACAGTACCTCCCTATTGCACCAATGGAGTAAAGTGAAAAATACTCCCTGTTGCATCTGGCAGTATTCTGATGAAACTATGCAATTTTAGCACTTATCTCTGATCACTTGGGCTTTTTGCCATGTCCATGTGAAGATATATAAATACTCACCTCACAGGAAGCTGTAGAGTGATATTGCCACCAACTGGATCAAAGCCATGTGTCTAAGTACATTGGTCAATATCTCAATTTGGCAATATTTTGAATGTAAGGGTATAACATATAATGCAATTGGGCGCATTAATGTGGTGTAATGGTTAGCTAACTTGTCTCACGAGATCCATTACAGCTGAATAGTGGGTTCAATCCTCACTAGGTTCTCCTTACTTGGCTTTGTGCCACAACTAAGCTTTACTTAGTAAATTACTATAGCATTAGTCCAAGCTCTAGTTTTCTTTGCAATTTTGCTTTTTCATCAACTAAATAAATAAACAGCAAATTCTGTGTGTCTGAAACCTGTCTAACTCAGGCCACACTTGCTCTACATAGACAAACCTTTTTGAAATCAGGATGATCCCAAGATTGTTAATCTGCCCTTCATCTCGTGCTAGAACATCCAGAATTGAGATTTGTGTCCAGATGAGGAGGAAACAGTTAAAAATTTAAATTTTAAAATAACTGAAAAAAAATTAGTGAAGTTTTTAATTTATGTTGAGTTTAAAGTAACACGGAAAGTTTGTGAAATTAAAAGATTTTGTTTTAAATTCAATTTAAGATATCTTCAAAACTTTGTGAATTGAGGAAATCATTTTTATTTCTTTAAAATGCCAAGGAATCAGAGTTAAAGTGAGAAGTTTCCTGATGTGAGGTTTCGAAGTTCCTCGGAGTTTGTGATTTGAAGAACTTGATTTTCAGTCCAAATTGGTGTTTTGGCAGGAATTGGACTTGTAGCCTGAATCAGTTAAAGTGAGGTTTTGATGTTCCATGGAGTGAATTGAGGAATTTAAAGTTATTTCTTCAAAATTTTCATTGGTGTTTTCTAAACTGAACCAGAGGTCCCCTTAATTTAAAAGTCTGCACTGAGTTCAGCTTTTAAGCTAGACATAAATATCCCTGTTGTTTTCATATGACAACTTTCCTTTATTACTAAATTTTATTTACATTTAAATTTTGTAATTTTGCTTACCTTAAAACTTTAAACTTCATTTTATATTTGAAAAGAAAATGTTACCTTGTGCATTAATCACCAAGTTAAAAATAAAGAAAAAATAATTATGGTGCCTCTTATAACTGAGAATATTGTTTGTCATACCTTTTGGCTGAGTGAGTTGTGTTTTCTACTGACACCACTGATTTGTGTTCAAACTCAGATAAGTCAAGACTTTTGTGTGCTGATTTTCAATGTTGAGTGACAAGTTCTTTAACTTTCAACACAGTCTTCCTACTCACATCATTCCCCCCCCTAATGCTGCCTTGTGCCAAATTAAGCTCTGCTTACTGAATATGTAGACTCTTTTATAGCAGATTTTGAATGCTGATTTTCAAGGCACACACAGAACTTCTTGTTTCAGCAGTCTTCTGATCCCCCTTTCATTTCCCACTTTGTTAGATTAAGCTAAGATTAGTTAATATCTACCTGTGGCAATGTGAATTGAAATCTCTTTGTTTGTCAGTGGATTTATAAGAAGCAACAAAATAATAGTCAAGTATATTAAATCTTTTTGAAAGATGAATGCCTTGTTAAGGTAATAATTTGTTTGCCCCCTTCTGATATATCTTGATAGCAGTTCAGGAGCTTCAATATAAAAAAGAAATTAAATATTTCATAATCAATTTGAAGAATTTGTTTTGCACTATATTAGTTGCTGTGTCAAAAGTTACATTAATTCATGTAATAATGGTTTTTAAAATAACTTTTTTTGTTCGGCAAAAAGTCTTGTAAATAACACTTGTGAGCCTGTTTTTTTTGGGTTTTTTTTTGTGTGTGTTTTTTCTTCACTGTGTATCTCTACACATGTTTAGATCATGCCATTGAAAGCAATGAAGTCGATTCCAAATGTGATAGCAATCAAAATGGGATGGATGGGAAGGATGACCTGAAAGTGCTGACAGGAGATTCTGGTTTGGCCCCTGGTCAGCATTACTTGATTGTCACAAGGGACACAGCAGGTATGTATACTTTCACTGCTCAAATACACAAAGGAATACTGAAAATTAGTTTCTGATTTACTTTCACATCTCCCCACCACCCTCCCACCCCCAAAATGGAGAGAACTCTGACTTGAGTTGCATAAGTGGGTTTTTAGCAATCTTCTTTTGTATTGAAAAGTGGCAATAGTTCATGTTTCTTTTAAAAAAAAAAAAAAAAAACATGCAAATGAGTATAACATTGCTAAGAATAAAAACCTCATGAAATAAATATATTTTCATTCTTAATATATTTATGGTAACAAATCACAAGTTAAAACAAAAGTATTTTTTGTTTTTATTTCTTTCTCTTAGATTTCATTCAACTCTTTTGTAAATGATCAATGAAGAAGTTGTTACTATATATATAAAAAAACTAATGAACTTGTTTGTTAATTGTTCATTAAAATGCTGGGTAAATATTGTTCGGTGAAAAAAATATTCAAGTGAGGACTAAGAAACAAGAAAAATTGATTAACTTGTAATCAAATGAGATACTGTCTTGCTTATCAGTCAAATAAGAGAAAACTGCGTTTTTTTTTTTTTTTTATTTCACTGATAGGCTATTGTATTCCATTGCCATTAAAATTCTGCATGTTGTGGTGTGTATAAGTTAAGGAAAAGGCTTAGGCATAAGTTATAATGGTAATATATTTATTATTATTATTATTAGAAAAGCTAATACAGACATTGTCCTCTCGTATGTAGAATGTGTAGCATGAATTACCAGTAGGGTCTGTTGCTGACATAGATAACAGGTATCCATTTCATCAGAACAATTCTGTAGTTCCCTTCATTTGAAATTGGTCCTTTGGCCTAGGAGCAGGTCCCAGGTCCTTGTGTGAGTGTCTGTCCTCTACACCAGTTCATGTGTGTCTGTGTTTTCTACTTCTATGTAGGGGGAGACGACTTTTTTTCACCAACGCAACATGCAGATCAAAATGGTTTACAGGTTAATTTAACTTCTTCAATTGCTTTTATTTTGAAGAAAACAGTTGAAGAAAAGAGAACATGTATTTTATTTATTTCTGTTGTAATGTTTTTTTCTTGCTCATTTGAGTAAAATGTAACTGTCAAATTTCATTCAAGTAAAGTTTGTATTATAATTTACTTTTTTGTATCTTCATTTTAAGACTTTAAAGTATTCAGTTAATGACCCCCCCCTCCCACCACCTCACTAAATGCTTGTAAAATTCACTGGAAAATAATCTGGAACTTTTTTTAAAAACTTATATTATTGACAATATAAATTTATATAAAATCACATTTCTATAAAGATATTTGTTTTTCAGCTACTTGTTTTTTGTTTGCAATAATAAATCTGGTATAGATTTGATTTTGATGGCAATGTGTTAGTTTTTGTATTCAATTAGAATTTCATTTTCTTTCAGCTGCCCTTGGTGTAGGAACTCTAGAAGATGATGGAACTACTGAATCTGGTTCCAAAAGACTTCGACTTTCAGGTGATGATGGCCAGACCTATGTCTTTACTGTTACAGGTGAGTCATCCATTTTACATTTTGGACACATTTTTAGAAAGTAGTTTTAAATCCCCCCCCCCCTCCAGATTATCCCAGCATTTAGATTGATTTTAGATTTTGTTCTGGGCAAAAATTGCTGCTTTACTAAGTATAAGGGATCACATTTAAGTAGCTAACAAATCAACTTTAGTTTAAATACTTAAATCTTTTAAACAGAACAGACACAGTATGTTTATTGAACATTTTAATGTTTTTCCTTGTAGGGAAATTTATTATATTTCTGATAGCAGGTAATAATAAAATAGTTCTCTACCACGCTGATGGCAAAAAATAATTACAAATCCTGAAGACTATTTATATTAAAAGAAAGCAAATCACTATTAATAAAAATCCGTTTCAATATAGTTGCTTGTGAATTATGATATATTTAAAATGTAAAATAATTTTTTGCCACATGTCAATTTCTTTCATAGTTATAACAAATTAATCCATGTTTCTCAAACATTAAATTTACAACAATACAATACTTCTGAACTTTCTATCTTTCCTTGAAAATCACCAACAATGGTGAAAAGTAAAGATATTGACATTAAATTTTGTGTAAAAATTGTGTTTTCAACTATCATTAGTCATTTTCAAGAAATGATGGTTTTGAAATTCCAGAAAATTTGTAATCTTTTCTATCATGGCATTTGGTGCTTGGAACATTATTATTTTAAATGATGTTTTGATGTTGTCATTTGCAAACATTTGTTGTATTATGCAGATTAGGTTTATGTATTTATTATTAAATATATCTAAAGCTGAAAGATATTTAATGTAGATATATTTTTTTTTTAATTTATTTTTTGTATGGTATTTGTATACTTTGTTGTATAATTGTCTTATTCTAATATTGGTTGGAATATGATGGCTTTGTGTACTATGTTAAATAATATAAGCTTTTATAAAGTCACTATTGTCTATTAAATAGCATTTTAGTCAACATGAAAGTGTTGTCATTTGGCTAATGTTTTTTTTTTTTTTTTTTTTTTTTTTTTTATTAATACTAGAGATCCACTCCTAATGAGTAATAGAATTTGGGGACTTGTATGTGTAACTATATGGTACAAGTTCTTAATTTTATTCATTTATCACTGATTAAATGATATATGCTTCATGGCTTTCATCATTTTACAATTTTGGTTTATTTGGTTACAGTGGAAGAGATTTATTATTTTTGCCATAATTATTGCATGTATTTTTGTTACTCATTTCCTTTTAAAATTAATTTGTTCATCAGCTACTTAATTTGGAAAGCCATTATTAGTTTCCATATTGCTGGGTTCTGCTAAGATATACATTGTGTGTGTGTGTATAATAAGAATAAAGTCTTTAAACAGTACGCAATAATAATGTGTAAATATATGCAATAGGAGTAGTTGTTACTGTTCTGAAAACACATGCAACAACAAAGTTCTCAAAGAACAGAGAAAGATAAAATTTAATTTAAGATGTATAATTGCTAATAATCCAACCAATGTACCTTGATATATATGTTGATAGTAACTGATGAGTTAACAAAACTATAGTTCTGAGCAAGCAAATATTTTGCATAGAATTTTATCATACAGACATACAGGGTGCGATAGATAAATTGTCGTCTGTAAATTATGCTAAAAAGAAAATATCACTGACATCTCATTTTAACATATATTTACCAAAATTACACAAAAAATATTTTGAAATACTCACAAGTGATTTTATTCAAAATCACCATTTGCTTCAACCACGACTTTGGAATCTCCTACAACTCTTTTGGATGATCTCCTTGTTTAAGTTGGTGAATGCTGCCATACGTTTGAGGCCTTCACCAACAAATTCGGGGGTTCTTTTCTTATCGTAACAATCAGTGAGTTTTCCGAGCTGCTGTACCTTCATAATCATTATTAGACTCATCCAACTCTTTCTGAATCCTCTGCACTGTCCTCAGATTGACCTCCAAACACACTGAAATGTTCATATTGGAGCTTCTGGTGTGAATGCCAAGCAGTACAGCATGCCATTTCCAAATGTCTGGTGGAGTAAATTCCATCATGCTGCTCTTTTTCTCACAGATGGGGACAATTTACCCATCACACCCTGTGTAAACACACACACACCCACACCCACACACACACACACATTAAACAGGGATTTGGATTTACTCAGAGAACATAGTTTCAACAGGGAGCCCTTTAACCAACAATATTCCCTGGAAGAGGAGTCTTACTTTGTTTATTCCTCATCTCATTGAAAAAGGACACAGGCATGTCCGCAAATTCCAACTTCAAAATCTTTCTCTTCGTGTTTCAATTTAGTGGAAAATAAATATTATTTGTCTTATTGCCAATATTATCATTTTGTTGTCTTTTTATTCCTCAAATTTTATTAACCAGCCTATTAAATATCTATCTCTCTCGCTCTCTCTCTCTCTCTCTCTATATATATATATATATATATATATATATATATATATATATATACAGTAGCGTCCAAAACTAAGGGACAAAATTTTAAAACCTAATATTTGTTATAAACAACAACTGTGAAAAGCTGAAATTTTGACAACTGGTAGTCGTTATCATCCATAATAACATACTAAAATTTGAATCATTTGCAAAGGATAGAAAAAGAATTATAACAATTATTTATTTATTTTCAAAATAGGATCGTCCAAAAGTAAGGGACAAAATTGAGAAAAAACAATGTAAACAGTATGCTATATTCAAATTTTTGATTTCCTCTAAAGAATAAGTCTTACTTAGTCATTTGTAAACGTTGCATCAGCCCGGCACCATGGCGAAAACGCCAAAAACTTGATTACTCTGTGAGACAAGCTATTGTGAAGCTACACAAGGAAAAGCACACCATTAGAGAGATTTCAGAGAAAGTGAAACGTTCCAAGAGTGTTGTAGGCAGGGTTGTTAAATCCTACAATGATACTGGCAAAATAGTTAGTGCTTTTAAAACCGACAGACCCATAAAACTTGACAAGAGAAGATCGAATAATGCAGCGTATGTCATTAAAGGACCGTTTTAAGTCTTGCACAGAAATTAAAAGGGTTATGAATAGTACCTCATGTGTTAATGTGTCAAGACAGGCT